CAACGATGCCGATGGGCGGAGCCGAAGGCGACGCACCAATGCTCCCCTCATCGCTGGCGGCCGACGTCGATGCCGACTTAGGCAGGCCTAGGGCGAGTGATGGGAGGGAGGTGGGAAGAGGTGGAGGAGGTTTCGACAGGGGCGGAATGGAGGGAGAGGGATCGCCAGAAGAACCATCGTCCTCGGCTTCGAGCAACGAAATCGTCGCCGGCGATGGACCCGTCGGCGGAGAAATCGTCGTCCGCTCTGACGCGGGCCTGTGCTCCACCTTCCACTCCTCCTGATTCATCGCCTCATAGAAGATTGCCTCCACGGTTGTGACAATGCGGTTGGCGGTGAGGTCTAGCACCTCCCATCCCTTGCTCTCCGGCGAAACACCGAGGTGAATTCCCCAGCGTGCCTTCGGTGCCAACTTTCCGCCGCGCTGCTGCTCCAGGATCATGAACTGCACCATGCAGCCCCACACGCACGCCAGCGTGAGATCCGGCTTCTTCTCGAACAGCAGCTCGTACGGCGTCGTCCTCGGAGGAAGTGAAGCCCGTTCGAGGCAGTTGCGCACCGTAATGGCGTGGCGAAGGGCGAGGTGCCACCAGTGATGCTTCACCCCCATGTGAAGCAGCATCGTTCGCACAGCTTCGACGACCGTACGCATCTCCCGCTCCGCCATGCCATTCTGCTGCGGAGTGTAGGGGCAGGTGAGGTTGTGGAGGATACCCTTGTCCTCGACGAGATCGGTGAAGGCCCGACCGAGGAACTCCCCTCCGCGGTCAGAGCACAGCCTTTTTACCGACTTCGAGGTCTGCCGCTCCATTTCCTTCAGCCACTTTTCGAAGACGCCGAGCACGTCGCTCCTTTTCGCGATCGGACGGACCTACACAAAGCGAGTCTTGCGGTCCTTGAGGAGGAGGAAATAGAGGCTTCCATCCATGGCGGCCACGCGAAAGGGGCCGCAGAGATCAATGTGCACGACGTCGAGGGCGTTTTCAGCGTCCGATCCCTTCTCTGGAAAAGTATGTCGCGCTAGATTTCTGCCGACACAGGAGGCACACGGCAAGTCGGCGCCAGTCGACTTTTTGATGTCCAGACCGATAACAACTTCATGCTTCGCCGAACTCGTAATCGTATCGACGCCGACGTGCGCGAGCCTCGCGTGCCACCTCTCCGGGGTCGACTTCGTCGCCGAGGCGATCGTCCGTAGAGCAACTACTTCCGTCGAAGATGTCGTCGATTTCGAGGAGCAGGGGCGGAGGTCGGTGCAGAGGACCCGGCCGGTGTAGCGTGCTCGTCCGCGCACATCTCCTGCAATAGAAACGAGCAGCATCTCGTCACCCTCGTCTTGCAGCTTCACGCCGTGGTCCTTCAGCTGACCAGCCGACAGCAGATTCGCATGCATGCCTGGGACGTACAACACGTCGGGGATGAGAATCGGCTTCCCGGTCTCCCCTTTCAGAGCAACTGTGCCACGACCTTCGACGTTCTGAAGCGCCCCGTTGAATCCACGCACGTGACGAATTTGGCCTCCAGGCTTCATGTCGATGAAGGCCTCTCGCGTTCCCATCAGATGATGAGAGCAGCCGCTGTCGAGGAGCACCACGGTCGGATTCGCCTGCACGGATACAGCGACGGCCTGAAAATCTTTGCCAGCCTCTGGCGCCAGCGAAATGGTTGGCTCAACCACGCCAACCATCGAACAAGAGGCTTCACCACTGCTCGACGCATCTCCCTCTGATTTCGACGCTGTTTTCAACGACGCCGGCTTCTCCTTGCGCGGCTGGTTGTCTCGACGACGACGGTCGCTGTCAGACTTCCCGTCTTCTGATCGACGGGCGTTGTCAGACTTTCCGCGGCTTCCTCTCTGATCATCGTCGGACTCGTCGCGGTCAGGGCAGTCGTACGAGAGATGGTCAGGGTCTCCGCAAATGTAGCAGCGGCGTCCTCCTCGACGCGAACCACTGCTACCGCGACCATTGCCCTTCTCCGACTTCCCGCGATCGGCGTTCTCCATAGACTTGGTGTTCGACGACTTTCCGCCACCGCCTCCACCTCCGCCCGACTTCCCACGCTGCCCCGTCTGACGTCCCTGCTTCGTCAGAGCAACGTAGTTGGCACGTGGAAGGAGCTCTGAAGACCGCTCAGAATCCTGCATGAACTCATCCTGGATGATGTGACTCGAAAGCGAATCCTCGTTAAGAGTCTCGCGCGTGCCTGGCATTATCAGCATCTGGCGCATCAGATTGTAGCTCGAGGGGAGGCCATTGATGACATGCGTGACACACGACGCCACCGAGTACTCAAGCCAGCCATCCGCATGTCGGCCAAAATTCGCCGCGCTCGATTGCAGTACTCGGTCGCCGATTCCTGCTCGCCCATGCGAATGTTGGCCAATCTCTTCTCCAGTTGGCTGATGTAGAGGTCGCCGGTCGCTTTGTAGGTGCGCATGATGTACTGCCACGCTTGGTAGCCGGCGTCCACTCGAAGTCGGCACGGCTTCAGCGCGACTTGCACCAGCGGCGAACAGCACCTCGAAAGGACCATGAAGGTCAGAAGATGAGCTGCGCGAAATTCCGCCCACAATTCAGAGTCGTCTTCGTCCGGCGTCTCCACCTTGCCGTCGACGAATTTCTTCAATCCGGCGATCTCCAACTGAGGCTCGATGGATTCAATCCATGTGATCAAGTCGTGGCGACCTTCGAGTGGCTTCGGCACAGCAATCTTGTCCGGAGAAAATTTGAAGTAGCCGTACGCCGGCGCGATTCCTCCGTCTCGACCAGCCGACGCGTGAGTCGCCGAAGTCGGCCTGACTCCACTCCGCTGATGAGAGTGATGTCGACCATCGATGTTGCCGTTCGAGCTTCCCGCTGCCAACGTTGACCGCAGCACTTGCGCCTGCACTCCGCCGACGCCGACGTCGGCGGCCCGAATCACTCCACGAACCCTCGTGCTTCCTTCGCCGACAACATTGCCGCCGTCACCTTTGTTGTGCACGGGTCGGGGAGAGGCGGACGCACTGTCCGCTTCAGCACGGGGAGGGGGATGCTCACGCGCCCACTGCGCACGAGTTCCTAGGAGAAGAATCTCCAAGTCCACCTCACCGTACCCGCCAGCCTCGTGGCGTGCACGAACACCATCCAACCGCGCCTGCAGAGTATCTACTACTCCTGCATCGACCCCTTGGTCGTCCATGGCGGCCGAGACGGTTGTCGGCCTACAACGATTTAGGTATTGAGTGCAAACGTCGGCTATTCTGAAGGTTCTAATGCGGGGCTGTTCCACGCTCACCGCACCATGCGGAGAATTCTATTCTACGGGAGAGCTGAATTGCGTGGGACGCACGGTCAGAGTTCTGGCAGTGATTGTTGACAGAGTGTTGGAATGCCTTGATAGAATTCAAGCATAGGTTCACTAAGAAAAGTTGATAGAACAAGATTATGGTACAAGAAAGGAGATCCAAAATAGCAAGCACAATGAACCCTGGTGAAACGTTCCTTGACAAATGCTTGACCTTTCCGAGTCAGCAACGGCAGGTGAAACGACAAGCACATGTGTCATTCACCTGAGTTGGCAGTTTCTCAGGTTTACAACATTCAGAGTTGTTTACGTTTTTAGTGTTTGTAAAAACGTGTTTCAGGTTCAGGGCGTGTCCCTGGGGAGTACAATTTCCGAGATGCTCTGATTGGACGAAATTTGTTGTTTCGCGATTGGTCGAAATTCGCGCACATTACGAATTTTGGAGACAAGTTATTTTGGTCGACCAGAATTTCTCTGCTCGACGATGCCTCGTTCGAGCTTAATTATGTCGAACAGCGTTTCGTCGAAACGCTGTTTTCTCCAATTTCGTCGACCCGCAAGGCTCGATTTCGACGCCGATTTGCTCCCCTCGACAAGTGCCTTGTCGACGGGCAGTTGCGTAGAGTAGAAACAACACTTCAATTTCGACGACTTAATCTCGTCGAAAATCGACCCGTCGTACAGCGATCAGAGTCCCAGAGGCTGTTGCACCCAGATAAAAGTCCCTGAAGTCGTTGATGACCACGAAACAAACACCGTTGTGCTCCGAAAAGCATGGCCGACTTCGCCCAAGCGAGGGCGGGGCCTTTTCTCCTCGACAGGAAGGTGACGGGAGGGATGGGAGGAAAGTGACAGAAGGGATGGGAGGAAAGTGACGGAAGGGATGGGAGGAATGTGACGGCAAGGATGGGAGGAAGGTGACGGCAGGGATGGGCTGATTGGTGACGGCAGGGATGGGCTGAATGGTGACGGTATGGATGGGCTGATTGGTGACGGCAGGGATGGGACGAATTGCGACGGTAGGGATGGGACGGCAGGGATTGGAGGATAGGGTACGGCAGGGATGGGACGAAAGGCGACGGTAGGGATGGGACGGCAGAGATTGGAGGATAGGGTACGGCAGGGATGGGACGACAGGGATGGGAGGTATGGGTGACAGCACGGTTTGGACGAGATAGGATGAGTGGTGAGTGCTGACATCAACAAACGTGGAACAAATTCATTTGTTGATGCACTTGAATGAGGCAACGTACTCTCCTTTGGTTTTGGGGTTGCCCTTCTTAGCGGTCGCTTTAGCCCCACCGCCTGCTTTAACCTTTGCGCCTCTTGCCCCAGCGCCTGCTGCCTTTGGCTTCAGTTTGCCCGGAACGTCACCGGTGTTCCGCTTCTTTGGTGCACCGCAAACCACCAAGGCCGACTCCTCTCGTTTCGTCTTCCCACCATGGCTACTCTCTTTCGGCACCATTTTCTCCACCACCTTCTCCTTACCCTTAGCCATGGCGACAGGATGTTTCCCTCAAGTGTGCCTTTGCACCCTTTCCAGCCTGCTTTGAGTTGACAACGGTCCCCTTGATCTCATCCAGCGCCTTCAGCTTTTCAACCAGGGTTGCACGTTCCTTTGCCATAGCCTCATCCCCCATGGCATCACTATCACCGTCACCCTGCTCTTCCAACATCTCATCAAAGCTTGCCTTCCTCGTGACCTCTGGCTTATGCGCATCCGCGCCTCCATCCACTTCCGCCGCATCGTCCTTCTCCATCCCCTTCTCGGCATCTTCCTCACCCCCCTGCTCATCGTCCGACTCCCCATCCTCTTCATCCGAAGGCTCGTCTCCGGATTCGTCTTCCGCCTCGTTTCCGGACTCGTCACCCGTCTCTTCCTCAGCCTCTTTCTCCTCATCTTCCTCAGCCTCTTCCTCCGCCTCTGCCTCCGCATCTTCCTCCGCCTCTTCCTCCGCCTCTGCCTCCGCATCTTCCTCCGCCTCTTCCTCCGCATCTTCCCCAGCATCCCCCTCAGCATTTCCTTTGCATCTTCCTCCGCATCTTCCTCTGCATCTTCCTCCGCCTCTTCCTCCGCCTCTTCCTCAGCCTCTTCCTCAGCCTCGTCCGCCTCGTTTTCAGCATCGTCACCCGACTTGCCGGTGGCCTTCCTTTCGTCCTCGTGCTCCGCATCGTCCCAAGCGTCACCCAGACGTTTAGTCTTGACAGGCGTAGAAGGATCAGCGTTGTCGTCGTTACCATCCGCATCTTCCGCAAACCACTCTTTTGCCTTTCGAGGGTGGCTGGAATTGCGAACTTCGCCACCAGGTGGGCCGTCCCCGCTAGATGATCGGGGTTTGGGTGCAGCCTCCGTGCACTTTTTCTTCGTACCATTCTTCACCTTGCCAGGACTTTGCGCTGAGCCACCCCTTGCAGTGTTTTTCTTGGTCACCGGCATCGACAAAATTGTTGCGGCGCTGATACTGTACAGTGACGTCACGCACTTGAGCAGCAACAGAAGGAAGAAGGCGCACCCGGTCGTGATGACACTGGGGAATATTGCATTCCCCAAACGCTGGGGGCGGCCTGTGCACTCCCTGCTGGCGCTGTTACCCATCCCACCCTCGAATATGCCGTTGCACTTGAAGGTGGAGCTCTACAACGCTTCTATTGCTAAGCTACTGGAGCCGCTTCTCCGCCTTAAAGACAAGTGAGTGGTGCATTTGCTGGTGTTTATTGTTCGTTTTTTTATTTGGTTAGTCGTGCCCCCAAAAGCAGTACGGCTCTTGGAAAGTAATGAATATTGTTAACCAGCATGTGTTTTCACCCTGTTCCATGGCTGCCCGAAAATTGTGCAGTGGTGTCATGCTGCTGGACTCAGAAGGCATCGAGCGATGGGTCATTCCATTGCTGTACGCATGGGCTTGCGACTATCCCGAGTCCGGGAAACTGACATGCACCAAACCTGGCCAGGGCTGCATGAAGCCGTGCAGCCTATGCTACGTCGACAGGGTATGTAAACACGCAACTCTGGATCATGTGGTGCTGGGATGGGAGGTGAGCGCTGCGACGGTGTGGTGCAGGGAGGGTGAGTGCAGGGAGGGTGAGTGCAGGGAGGGTGAGTGCAGGGAGGGTGAGTGCAGGGAGGGTGACTGCAGGGAGGGTGAGTGCAGATAGGGTGAGTGCAGTGAGGGTGAGTGCAGGGAGGGTGAGTGCAGGGAGAGTAAGTGCAGGGAGGGTGAGTGCAGGGAGGGTGAGTGCAGGGAGGGGGAGTGCTGGGATGGTGAGTGCTGGGAGGGTGAGTGCTGGGATTGTGAGTGCTGGGAGGGTGATTGCTGGGATGGTGAGTGCTGGGATGGGGAGGGAGGTGCTGGGATGGGGCGGGAGGTGCTGGGATGGGGAGGGAGGTGCTGGGATGGGGAGGGAAGTCATGTGGATGAGGAGTGCAAGCCCCCTCATTTGTCGACAAGGCATGTAATCATGCCCCATCCGCAAAGAAGGCTGTGTGCGTTTCATATCTGTGTATGTGCATGTCTAACGGCTTTTATTGCTCGTCCCCTTTATGCTATGAATACCCCCGCCCACCACAGGAAAGCCTGTCATCTGTGGAGCTACCCAACAACGTTCGCACACCCGCACAACAGCAGTGGGTTAGAGACGAGGCAGCTGGAGTCGCTGCCGGAGCGGATGACAATCCGCTGAAGTTGTACTCAACATTGGATATCGAAGTATGTATTTGATCGAATGCATGCTGGAGTCGCTCTGTAGGCTCATATACACAGCAACCTCTGGTGTCTATTGGAGTCAAGTGTCTCCCTAACCATCGCATTCCCTACTGTACTGTCAGAATAGCAGCTAGAAAGTTAGATCAGGAAAGAGCGTTTGCACTAGCAGGCAGTTGAGTACATATAGGAAACCCTAATTTGGGCTATACTCGCTATAGAGTACCCCACTGCAGGCTAGACAAATATCACATTCTGACACACCCCCATAGTCAAAGTGGGGTATAATCAGCACAGCAAGCAGTCATAGAGCAGGTTCACAAGTACAAGTAAAGCTAGAGGCATTCACAAAGGGCAAGTGAGGAGGAGGAGGCGAGACTGTGAGAGGAGAGGAGATAGGAGGCGACAGCTGAAGCTGCAGACACACGGGCAACAGGAGCGGCGCGCACGGTGGCTACCCGAGCAAGGGCCACGGACTACAGGAGTAACTGGCTCTGCGGCTAACTCTGAGCGGCAGGAGCAACGGGCCCACGGGCGACTGGCGCAGCAGGCTCGCTGGGCTACCGGAGCAGAGCCCCGGACTACTGGCGCTACTGACGACACGACGGCAGCCTCCGCTCAACCTTCCCCAACTGTCCCACCCCCCTTTCACACACCCCTTGCTGCACCCCTAGCTCCACTCCCACGTCACCCCCCTAGCGCCACTCCCTCGGCTCCCACACACCCACCCCCCTCAGCGGCAGCTGCAGCAGTGGGAGACGGAGGAGGAGGAGGAGGAGCAGGGGACGGCTCACACACCCGCCACCCCCATACCCGCCACCCCCATACCCCCAACGCAGGGCAGAAATGCGGGCAGCTGGGGCGGCGTGTGAGCTGAAGCGGGGCGGCGCGCGGGCCCCCAGGGCGCCTCGACGTGCGACGGGAGGGGGCGGCGCGCAGGCCCCCTGGGCGCCGCGACGGGCGACGGGAGGGGCGGCGCGTGGGCCCCTGGGGCGCCGCGACGGGCGACGGGAGGGGGTGACGCGCGGGCCCCCAGGGCGCCGCGACGGGCGACGGGTAGGGCGGCGCGCGGGCCCCCGGGGCGCCGCGACGGGCAACGGGAGGGGGCGACGCGCGAGCCCCCAGGTCGCCGCGACGGGCGACGGGCAGGGCGACGCGCGAGCTCCCGAGGCGCCGCGACGGGCGACGGGGGGGGGGAGGGGGGGCGCGCGCGGGTCCATGGGGGCGCCGCGACGGACGACGGGGCGTGAAACCGCCGCGCGCGCCCGGGGCGCGCGGCGGGCAGGAAACGGCCACGCGCCCCGAGCGCGTGGCGGGCAGAAAACTGCCACGTGCTCCGAGCACGTGGCGGGAAGAAAAAACGTCGCGCGACAGACAGTAGAGCAGCGGAAGCAAGTGGGCCCACAGGCCAGGAGCGTAGAGTGGCAGGTTGATTCATCGCCGTGGGGAAATCCTTTCCTAGCTGTCATGGCGGACATCATGCACCAGGCAGACCTGGGGATGCTGGACCACATCGTGCGATGCATCCGCGCCCAACACCCAACGATGATGAAGATCCTGGATTTGTGAGTGCCCCTTGGACCACCCGCCTAGACATGCACGATGCTCTATTCAATGAGCCATGGTTACATTGTTGCCATGTCAAGCCCACATTTGTGAGCACATGTGTTTGCATATGGTAGTGTGTCAGCTCAACTTTATTCCATCCTGATCTGCCGCCCCCCATATCCGAAATCTGGTCATCCCACCATACGCAGGCGTCTTCTACGGCTCATCCTGAAAACACGGATCAACTCTTTGCGTTTTCCGAAGAGCGAATACTTCAAAACCGGGGCACACGTTGCAGCTTTTGAACACCGATCGGTCATGCAGGTATGATGCTTTGAGGCCTAAACTATGGAGAGGTGGATAGGGGAGGGTGGGAAGAGTGGGGCGAGCTGGGCAGGGACGGAAGAGGAAGGGGAGAGAAGATGGGCTGGTGGAGAGGGCGCTGGTGTGTTGGTTCATGCAACTGTAGTGATGTGTTGGTCTGTTGTCAAGCTCGTCTGTAAACTCGCTTGAATCATTCATGGGAAGAATATCCTTACATCTTTTCTCTCACCTTTCCTACACACCACGCTGCATGCATCCAGGTGTTGATCTTTTTGGTGGCTGACGTTGACGGCTCGCCCCAGCTGGAGGCCATCAGAGCATACCTTGACTGGTATCTCTGCTGCAACGCCGCCTCTCACACCGAGAGAAGTCTTTCTGAACTACAATCCAAATCATCAGGGTACCTCACCAACGATACAACCTAAACCATCTAACTGCCTTAGCGATTCCATCCCTAGCACATGACTTACTGAGTTTTTAAGAACGCTTTTCCATATACTCCTTTATTTATTCATGCTCCCACACCATCCCAGGCTGGTGAAACTACTCACGGCTGCCTTCCCCGAGCAGAAATCAAAGTGGAACCTCATCAAAATACACTTGATGACTCATCTCATCCCTGGAATTCGACGAGCTGGGAATGTGCAAGAGTACAGCACCAACCTCTTCGAACACCTGCATAGCACCCTGCTGAAGCAAATCTATAGGAGATCGAATAAGCAGAAAGTGGACACGCAGATCATGAAGCACCACGAGATGAAGCTTGACTCCATCAGCAACGTGGCCACCGACCAAGGCATACAAACGGCTATGCAAAAGGTAGGTGCTGTGAGGTGCTGGGAAGGTGAGTGCTATGAGGGGAGGTGCTGAGATGGTGAGTGTTGTGAGGGGAGGTGCTGAGATGGTGAGTGCTGTGAGGGGAGGTGCTGAGATAGTGAGTGCTGTGAGGGGACTTCATGAGATGGTGAGTGCTGTGAGGGGAGGTGCTGAGATGGTGAGTGCTGTGAGGGTACGTGCTGAGATGGTGAGTGCTGAGAGGGGACGTGCTGAGATGGTGAGTGCTGCGAGGGGAGCTGCTGAGATGGTGAGTGCTGTGAGGGGAGGTGCTGAGATGGTGAGTGCTGTGAGGGGAGGTGCTGAGATGGTGAGTGCTGTGAGGGGAGGTGCTGAGATGGTGAGTGCTGTGAGGGGAGGTGCTGAGATAGTGAGTGCTGTGAGGGGAGGTGCTGAGATGGTGAGTGCTGTGAGGGGAGGTGCTGAGATGGTGAGTGCTGTGAGGGGAGGTGCTGAGATGGTGAGTGCTGTGAGGGGAGGTGCTGAGATGGTGAGTGCTGTGAGGGGAGGTGCTGAGATGGTGAGTGCTGTGAGAGGGGAGGTGCTGAGATGGTGAGTGCTGTGAGGGGATGTGCTGAGATGGTGAGTGCTGTGAGAGGAGGTGCTGAGATGGTGAGTGCTGTGAGGGGAGGTGCTGAGATGGTGAGTGCTGCGAGGGGAGGTGCTGAGATGGTTAGTGCTGTGAGGGGAGGTGCTGAGATGGTGAGTGCTGTGAGGGGAGGTGCTGAGATGGTGAGTGCTGTGAGTAGGAGTGCCTGGCAGGACAGCTGGGGCTGGGTGGCAAGGAAAGTTTGCCGGCAGGTCCTTGGGGGGTAGAAGGGGAAGAGTTATCGTAAGGCAGGGGAGGGAGCAGCGAAAGGGGAAGTTCAGGGCTTGGGAGGGGAGCAGGGGCTGGGGGAGAAAGGTGTGCTCGTTACTGCTGGTTGCTGCGATTCTGAGTTTTTTTTCCAATCTCTGCGTTTTCTGACACGTGTCAGGCCATCGAGGATGGAGCTCGGGTGATGGTGAAGGAGTCCTACTTCTTCCCCGTGAAACCTGATGACGTCAGTCCCTACGCCAACTGGTTTGTCCGTGAGTGGGCGAAGCTCCACAACGAGGCACACCATGCCTTTGCGGGTGCATTGCTTCGACGCCAGCTGAGGCCAACGAAAGTTCGTGTAAGTGGTGACAATGGTGACATCAAGCAGATACCATATGTAACTGCATGTTACTTTGTACTGATTTGTGTCTCTTACTGGATGCAGGCTCACACAACACTTGCCATCCCTACTGCAGAAGATGCTAGTTTCGCCCGTGTAGCACATTTCGTAAAAGCAACCCCGCTGTCTCACTCTAGACCATGGTTCTCTGATGTTGCGATCGTGGGAACAACGGCGATGGGTGCAGAGACAGAGTGGTACGGAAGGCTCTTGTTGCTGTTCCATACGAAAGAGAGAGGGTGGACGAAGGAGTGGGCATATATGAAGTACTGGTCAAGCGCAGGCGAGGATGCAAAAACAGGGTGCAAACGTTTTAGGTGGGCAACTGGGGTATCGCGGTACTCGGTGATTGACACTGAAAGCATACTGCGTCAGGTGCTCATTATCAAGTCTTACCACAGCGACAATGCATTCTATCTTAACAAGTACCTGCTAATTTATAAATAAATCATAAGCGCATCTGTACTTTTTCATAGACAACCAAACTGGTTTTGTATTTACAGGTTAGATTACATGCAATAACAATTTATGACTTTACAGGTTATATATTTACATGCACATGTGATTGTTTAACCAGCAGCCTTTCAAAATTGTAGGAGATAACTTTGACTTAATGTAAAATCTGTTTTAAAAACAAACACTAAAGGCTCATCTTGGTCCATAATTACTACTATGCGAGACCAATTTTGCAGGGCCCAAACGCGCCCTATCGCCACGTCTGGTCGTGCACCAAGCAAGGCTGTGGCTCGATGATTCAAAGCTTGGCGGTAAACAAACGCTCCCAATCTCGAAACTGCTTTTTCAATCAGGTCAAAATGAGCACTATACACCTGACATTGGCCGAAAACAAG